CTCTGAGTTGAGCATTGTTTTATTTAATATATTCATACCTTATCCACAGTAGGTATAAAATCCTCACTTGTATGGGAAAAACTTACTGGGTTCTGACACTTTTTGTGTGTGCATATGTGTGTGGTAACTTTAACATTACATTGAGCAAAGGCCTTTGAGGATAAGGTGCTGAAAGTGGGTGCAGAGACCTCATCTGGTCATATTTACGTTATTTACAAAGACCTAACGCAGAGGAAATTCTTGATGCATAGAATATAATTTCCCCAAATGGAAAGTGGCCAAGGTGCTGGAGTTTAGACGGCCTATTCTTACACACAGTGGGGTATTTCAAGACCCTCCCTTGTCGTAACCAATTGGACATGATTTTCAGGGATGCATGACAATGTGCCAGGGCAGGAAGACAGCAGCTGGCTGTTTGGCTGATCCATTGTTCTTCATTAATTTGACTTTTTTTTGGTCACAGCCCTGGTGGGGATGAGCTCATTTGGAGTCTCTCTGCCTGCCACATGTCAGTTCAGGAATATTCCAAAGCAATGTAGCATTTGTTATGTGATGTGGATTCCAGGCCAAATGATGGGATCCAATCAATGTGGATAATCTTTTACTCTATGGCAAAATTAATAAACAATTACTGTGACTCCAGCCAGTCAGGAGGCAGCTTATTCACAATAGTGCAGTGCCTCCGGGACAAACTGAACTGGTCTGGTCCTGGATTCGCCTCGGCCAAACAATAGTTCTGTTAGATACACCAATCAGTATGTGGGGGTCCATAGGGGCGCTGCCACAGCTCTGCACTGATACCCATCAGATAAGCTGATTAAATCTGCATTAATCACAGGGCCCAGTGAAAGTGCTGTCAGTGCCCTTGAATATTGTCAGGAGGATCAATTGCCTCAGCTTGGAAAAATAAATGCATTTTCTATCACTGGTGGAAGCTATCACCTGGTTATAATATCCTTGTACATTGGTATAATCTTTCAATTAATTAGCACTGAGAATACATTCTACCCCATGACCTCATGTATATTCTATTCAGGGAAGACGTAGCAAGAGAGATTTTTTCTATTTCTTATAGAAAGTAACGTGCAAACTCCTTTGATGGCCTACAGGACTGACATTATTGACTTCTGTCCCCTGCCTGGTCATTCTCTGCTCCTCTTTCTTCATGTGCTCTGCTTCCCAGACGATGGCCTTCTTTTCTGTCCTAGGACTTTTTGTTTAATTGCCTCTGCCTGGAATGCTTTGCCCTCCAGATGTGTGCATGACTGCCTCTTTCTTGTCACATCTCAGCTTAAATGCTACCTCCCCATGGAGTCTTCTCTGATTAGCATCCATATTGCATCATCCTGGCTTATTTCCTCCATTGTGCTTTTGCCATCAGCAATCTCTTGTTGGACAAGCTATTTGTCTCTAATGTAGCTCCACCAGATTCACTGCTGGATCCCCAGCCACTGGTGTTGAGTCTGGTAAAGACGTGGTGCTTAACAGACCCTACTGAATGAATGAATTTCTTTTGCTCTTTATTTATTTGGCCAAGCCAGTAGTAGTAGGGTTCAGAGGAAGAACATGTCACTAGAGGACTTAGACACTCCTAGTCTGCCTCTAATTTATAGGTTGGCCTTGGGCAAGTCACTCAATGTGACTGGGCTAATGACCACATTAGGTCTCCTCAGCTCTAAGAAAATATTTCCAAATACTTTTAGTTGAGAGTAAAGCAAGTTGGGTAATGAGTATTTTGTCTTGATCATTAGTTTTAATCTTGAAGAGGATAGGAGTAAGCTATAAAAGTTTGTGCCAGGGTGAGATGGGAAGGAGCCACCTATGAAGATATTGGCATGAAAATCTTTGCATAACTTCCATAGTCTGTTCAGCAGATATCCAGCCAGTGTTCCCGTCTGGGAGACCAGTTCTGTCTTTGGTGACCTGTGTTCTAATGAATTCAATAAAATGAAATTAGGTCACTAATAAATGAAAAAAAAATTGAACAGTCATTATAGAATACTTTTTGCATAGATTCCCTAAGGTCCAGTTCCTCTCACAAGAGCTTGTGAAGGGAGCTCAGGAAAAGCTATAGGATAAGCTGAGGAGAAGTTGGTAGAAGGTCTCCATGCTCTGCCCCACTGGGGCCCAGGGCTGCTCTTTTCCTGTGTGGATGAACCTCTTCATGTTCAGGAAGCCTAGGAAGCAGGTTCAGGAGGTGAGGTGGCTTTATCGTTCCTAGCTTTAAAAAGCACTGCACCTTCATATGTTTTGCAGGACCAGCAGTTTGAAAGGCAGCAAGGGGCAGAGTGCTTGTGTGGAAGTGGAGATACGACTCCCAAGGGTGAGGGCTCAATGCTGTCTTTTGAGAAGCACACAAAAATGAGGCTGTTAACTAAAACCAGAACAGGAAAATCAACCGCACATAAATTCTTCAGTGAAAATAAGATGTGATTTTCAATAGGAATTTTGGAGCAGTAGTTTTGTTTCAAAAGATAAAAGTTGTACTGATGCAATTTTCTGATATTGTTGCTTGTTTCTTACACATCAGCCCTCCAACCTACCCTGCCACATTACACACACTGAATGGAATGGTTTTTATTTCCCTTCTGAGGCAGAAAACATGAAAATGCAACTTTTCAGAGAAGCTTTCTGTTGAAGACTCACTACTGCCAGTGAAGAATTTTCCTGTGTTCTACATGAAAAATAATCATCTTATGTCTAATCAGCCTGTGTTCTCTGAGAAATGATTTTACTGGAGGGAAAACACATTTTTATTGAAAACCATTTGGGTTTTTTAAAATAGATTATTTTATATGGATGTACTAGGTTTTCAACTATGATAAGCCGAACACTTAAAGCAGGTCATTGTTCTTGTCACGACCACCTAGAAAACTTGAATAAAGTACAAAGGAAAAGTTTGTTTGAAAGCATCAGAGAGATCCAAACCTTTTAGGACTTGAAGGGCCAAATTCTGGAAAGAAGGAAGTTCATTGARATAAGTGCATTTTTTTTTTCAGATGCTACTTAACTCCTTGGGAATGGGACAAGACGCGGAGCATTTGGGCACAGGGTTGACTTCTAAGAGTCAGAAAAAATTGTCCAGCTTTAAACAATTCTATGAAGCCAGAGGGGCAGAAATTAGGATCCAGGTGTGTAGGGCAGTCAGGATTAAGTGTCCAAGATCCTAGAGAAAAGAGGATCAGATGCTGCCCTGATTTTCTCTTCAAGGCGTTTACTCATTTAAAATCTGTAGGGTAATGGGGAGAAAAAGCAATCATAAAGCTGATGAATGGAATCACAGGCAGTGCTGGGAGACAAAAATTTGAGTTCAGGGTCCATCAAGGAGGAGGAACTATAAGAAAAATCATAGATTCTATGTGTGTATAAAGAAAATGTGGTATGCATACACAATGGAATACTGTGCAGCCTTTAAAAAGAATAAAATCCTGTCATTCATGGCAACACGAATGAACCTGGAGGACATTTTGTTAAGTGAAATAAGCCAAACACAGAAAGACAATACTGCATGATCTCTTATATATGGATTCTAAGACAATACCAAACTCATAAGAGCCAAGAGGAGAATGGTGGTTTTACCAGATGCTGGAGGATGAGGGGAATGGGAGATGTTGGTCAATGGACACAAAGTCTTAGGAGAAATAAATTTTTTTGAAATCTATTGCATGGCATGATGACTATGGTTAATAAATACATATTCCAAAACTGCTAAGAGGAAATTTTAGATGTTCTTACTGCAATAGCATTTGAGGTGATGGATGTGCTAATGAGTTTGACTTAATCATTCCACATTGATACCTACATCATAACATCACTTTGTATTTCATAAATTCGTGCACAGAGAAGTTATCAATTTTCAGTTAAAAAAAACCAAAAATAAAACAAATAAGATTTATTTGTGGGTTATTTGTGTGAGATGAAGGAAGAAAGGAATCTAGGATAATTCCACAATCCTTAGGAGATGGAAGATGGAGGAAACTTTGGCCTCAGCAGTGCCTCAGGAGACACACAGCTGGAGGAGAAGCCCAGCAGAGGTGTGCTGCAGAGTGGGCCAGGAAAGCCTCCTGCCTCCCTCTATCTGACAGTTTGTCTTTTTCGGCTTTGTCCGATTCTACCTTCATGATTTAGTGGGTTTTGTTTGTGCTTTTGTTCTCTTCTAGGAATTGTCACTGCTTGATCCTGGTCCATAGATCTTCAGACAAGATCCAGGTTTTGCTCCTGAGCTGACCCCAATATGGGACTCCCTGGTCTCCAGGCCTGGGATCTGGGCCTTTGCCCTGAGCTACCTGAAATCACCCGCAAAGGCACCGCTGAGATCTAGCTGCCAGGGACACAGGGACACAGCTGCAGGGAAGACACCATCCTTTCCTCATTGGAACTGTGGGATGATGTGACCAAGAGTGGCCCCAGCTATTCTGAAGGCACTCAAATTGTCTGTGGTTGAAGCTGGTCAAGGTTCACCCTGGAGCTGGGAGTAGGGTGGGATTCCTGCCCCCCCCCCCATGTATAGGGTGGAAGTCATTTTTTTTTCCCCCTGAGGCAGCATTTTACTGTTGAGGGCCACAGCCTTGTTGGGATGAYGCCTGGCATTTTTGGCAGAACTGGGTGACGCCAGCAAGTCATTGAGATGATAATGGTTATGTTAAGCTGTGTATATTAGACCCCTGCTGTCCGCCTGGGCCTGCTACTTTGGAGTTCTCACAGGGATTCCGAGAGAGCATTGGTTGGGGAGGTGCAGAAGGAGGGATTTCCGGTTGGTGGTTCCTGGAGGAGCCACAAGGCATGTGGGAGAGTTCCCGGGGAGCATGTGGGGAGTGTGCTGGTGGAGTTCAGAAATAAAGTTTGTTCCTGCTTGAGTGGTTCCTGATTTGTGCCCAGCCAGACTGCGCATTTTACAGCACAAACTTTATAAGGAACAGGGGAACACATTTTTCCATATTGTATTCAGTCCAACAGAGCTCAGACTCTGGGGCTCTTGCTCATACACTTCTGTGGAGACTTCAAGCTTTGCCACTTAGCACATTCTCCAGGGTTCTGGTTACCTGATGAGCATCGAAGGTGTTCAAAGAGACATTCTTCTCTTGCAAAAATGGGTAGAGGGCCCAGAGCTTGGGCTGCACATCAGAGCCTTCCCGGATTAGAATGGGCAGATTGGGATTGGCCTTCTTCAGTTCCACAAAGCGTTTCTCCATGAAGTCCCTGATGTCCTGGCTGCAGGGCCAGCGCTGGCATAAGTGGATGCGAATCTCACGCAGGCCCAACTTTGCCCCCGCTGCTGCTCGACCGGCTGCGGCCGCTGCCATCCTAGCTAGTACTCAAGCTCCCAGTCTCAGGCCTTCCAGCTAAGTTCTCCAGTCGGACCCAATAGCGGACACACAGCCTACGCCATTGATTGGATGATGCAAGGAGGCGGGGTAAGCTTTAGCCAGTGCCAAGAAAGCATTGTAGACTGCAGGAAGTGAAAATTTGAATGAAAAATTCAACTTTTCTTTCCAAGAGATTAGGGAAATATACAGTGACTGGTCTAATCAGAAAATATCCACCTCATGAGGGGAGAGAGGCAGCATGCTTGTGAGGCAGGTGGAGAGAAAAGGAGGCACTCTGGGGCATCTGTGATCCACGAACAATGGACCTATCCTAGGATAACTTTTGGGAGGTCATGACGTAGATGGTCTATTCTGAGCTCATTTAGAGACAGACATCACTGAGGACTTGTACTTAAGTTGAACCACATCCTTCCTTTAGGCATTGTAAGGAAACCACAATGTATGTGACCAAGTCAGAGCTAGTCCTCCTCCCACGGAAAAGAAACTTTTCAAAAATAATGCTCATGTTGACCCTTTCCCAAGGATCTTAGAAACCAGTGACTCCTCTCTCAGACCTAAGGCAGTCAGTACTAACTTTTGCTTTAGATCATAGTTCAGAGATGGGAATTGGGGTGGTCTCACCCAATGCCACATCAGGGGTCATGCAATGTGGGAGCTGAAAGAGATCTTGTAGGCTATCCAATCATCCTTTGATTAGGGGGAGAGAAAAGAGTTCAGATACAAAATGGCACATACTTTTGAAGACTTGTTTAACTTCTCTGTGTATACTATATGGCTATTTGTGCTCACAATTTGCTATTTCTTTTGGGTCCATGTCTGAATGAAGGGAAATTAGACCCTATGGTATACAGTTGTCTTTGCATTATCAGTGGGGGATTGGGTCCAGGTCCCTCAGAAGATACCAAAGTCCATGGATGCTCAACTCTCTTACATAAAATGACCTAGTATTTGCATATAACCTGCACACATCCTCCCATACACTTTGAATCACCCCCAGATTACTTATACATAATACAATATACATAGTTGTTATATCACATTGTTTAGGGAATAATGACAAAGGAAAAAGTCTGCACATGTTCTGTAACATGTTCTGTAACAACCACTATACCTAACTCCATAGTAAGTGATCAAGAGGCAAGGTGAGCCAGACTCAAACAGGAAGCGCTGGACAAGGACTGAGGCACTCTGAAGTGGCAGGAATCTACAGCTGGGGGTGCCTGCACATCTCTTCACTGGTGTGAATTCAGCATAGTGCTCGGCATGCAGCCGATTCAAGTTGTACTTCCTGGAATTTTCTTTCTTTTTTTTTTTTAATTTTCAAACTGTAGTTGGTTAAATCCACAGATGTGGAACTTGCAGATACAGAAAACCGACTGTTCGTTCTTTGTTCCTGTCAGTCAGTCATTAATGAGAATCGATGCTCATAGACTATCTAATCCAAAGTCAGAATTGTTCTCAACTGAGAAGACAGCAGAGGACAGGACAGACATGGAGCTTGCCATCAGGATCTAGAGGGAAGAGATGGAGAAATCTCCAGTAAATAGTCCACTTATTTAGAAATGAGAAGTATTATGAAGGGTAGTATAAACCAGTGAAAAATGGTAAGCTATTTTAGGAGAAGATGTTAAAAGCTTCAGGAGGACTGGCCTTCAGCCTATGCCCCAGCAGACTAGACTAACCCGAACAGAACCACTTAGTCTAAGTGCCACATAATGAAATTGAACTTCAAAATGGGCCTGTTTCTGGTCAACCTAAGTCAGTGTAATAACATTAGGCAGGGATTTGGGATGCCCAAATGGCAGAGGCAGGGTATATGAAGGATTCTACTGGAGACGAGACAGGGAGAAGGGTCCTGTCCCTGTTTCTGATAAGTCCCATTCCCATGACAATTCCTGCCCCTGAGGACTTATCACCATGACAAGCCCTGCCACAGTTTGGTATTTTAAAATGACCAATGGGGGTAAATTGGACAGTATTCTAATTAGGTTTTCTAAAGTAACCAATGGGGGGGCAGAGAATTGGAGATATTCTAATCAGGTTTTATAAGGTAACCAATGGGAGCAAAGGAGGGAAGGTCTTCAATCAGGTCTGTGTAGGGAAGAGAACACCTCACAGCTCAGCATGGAAGACACTAATTTCCAGACATTGGAGCCTTGAACCTCTCTCTCTTGCTCAGCCCACTCTGCTCCACCTTACAGGGTGTTACTTCAACCTTCACCTTCAATAAATCTGTCCTTTGCCTATTACTTCTGTGTGTTTTGCTCAATTCTTTGTTTGGGACAGCAAGGACTTGGACTCCCATTAGATACTGTGATGGTAACAATAAGTAGTCACCTCTGTTTTAATCCTATGATAAAAGGAACTCTGAAGTGGCCAATCTTCTTTATCTGTTTGCTTCCTTCTGCCCTTTTCTGTCCATAAGACCAGGATCCTCTGCTTGGCTTATTAGAGCTAGAATGAAGTGTGCCCCCAATGTAGAATCACAAATAAAACCTGATAGATCTTTAAATTTGTTGCAGTTTAGCTTTTGACAAAGGTCAAGGAAGAGTTCTTAGAAGAGCAGAGTCATTCAAAGAATTAACCCAAGATAATCTGAGAAATTTTCAACAGGGCTTGTGGCCCCTGAACACCACTCCAGCCTAGACATTTGAGATGATCTCAGTACTGTGTCTGATGTCCCTCAAGGTTAAGGGTGTCCTAGGTTGCTGGACATTTCGGCAACTTTGCATGACCAATTAAGGGAGACCATAACCAAGCATAGCATGAGCTCTAGGCGAGGGTTTTCCAGGATGCCGAGGGTTTTCCAGGATGCCAAGTTGTCCCCTGCACAGTGTTAGAGCTCATGATTCCCAGGGACTCCAAGGAACACAACTGTATGTGGTTCCTTCAATCAAGACCAAGTTTTGCTCTAATGTGATTCTCCCCCTTTAGCTGATCACATGAGTAGTCTGCATAAGGAGCTGGCTTGTCCCAGAGATGGGAGCAGAGAAGGCAGGGTTGAAGAACAGAGTGGATTCTGCTCAGTCTTTCCACACACCAGTAAGGCTCCACACTGGTGGTCTGGAGGAAGGAAGCACTGGGACGTCCAAGTTTTGTGAACTCTAGCCCTGTATGTTTCCAAACAGAATCATCATTGCAGAACTTGGACTCCAAAGGCCTTAAGGGGCCCTTAACTACTCTTTGTTCCAGGAAAGTTCACGCTATTGACAAAACTTTCAACATCATGAACAACTCGGGAACTGAGGGTGCCATCAGCACCACCCTCCGAACCCCAACCTGGTGATAACACATATTTAATCACGTGCTCTTGGCCCTCCCAGCTTTGCTTTCCCCAACTCTATGCTTTCTGAGAACAGAATCTGTGATTCACTTAAGCTGTCCAGCACCCCTAGAGCAGCTGCCTCACATGCAGTTGGTGCTCAGTGACTGTTTGTTCTGTGGACCTGGCAGTTCTCAGAGGTGATGTGATCATGAGTCAGAGCTGCTTCAGCTGGGGCCCCCCAGACAGGCTTGGCTCTGGGTCCTACAGCAGAACGGTCCTGGCTCTGGGAGTTGGGAACCACCTGGAAGCTCCCAGCTGGGGCAGATGAGAACCCAGGATGAGAATCAGAATGAGGCTGGACTGGAAACAGAATGCCCTCAGAGCTTGCATCCCAGCAAGACCTCCCAGGCCTTGGCCTGAGCCTGAGTGGGAGACAGGGATGGGCATCCTGGGACCCCTCTTCCCACTCAGTGGCAGTCCTCTGAGCACCTCACCATCTCTGCCTGTCCACCCTACAGGACTGTATTCTAGAACTTGTGTTCAAAGTGGAACGCTGCTTTTTTTTTTTTTTTTTTTTGCCTTTAAATCTCAAGGAAAGTCATTCTAAATCATGAACGTACTTATTGACCCTTCCCAAATGGAAGGCAAAGTGCCCGTCGTCCACAATTTTAATCTAAGTCAATTTCTTTCCTAGCATGAAAAACAAACAAAAATAACTTCTCAGGAAGGTGACTGCCAGAGGGGACTGTGAAGGGCTCTGGGGTCACTTTCAGTGTTCAGTAGTTGATCCTTGGCAAAGGTAAATGGTACACGCTTTGCTGGCCTCTGAGCAGACTGGGCACAGGTGGACCAGGCTCTGACAGAACACTCTCACAAGGCTGAGGGTTAGGGTTCAGGCAAGTGCTTAGTGAGAAGGGCGGGGGGGGGGTTGTGCTGGCATGGGGTGTGTGACCACGTTTGGCCAGGCCCCGCTGTTTGGGAAGAATTACAGGGCAATTAAAAGACTTTTTGAAAGTTGGTAATATTGTCAATTCCTTTGCCATTTCATGTGAACAGGAGGATTAATTAGTGTTGGCTTTATAGAGTTATATCTAAATGCACACGTCTCGGGTTAGATATTTCTTTTTACTAGATTAGTCAGATTTGTTCCCGGCTGTGAAGGCCACCTCTGGGGAATTCAATTGTGTCTGCCTCTAGTTTGCCGGAATGTGTTATCCGAAGCTGACACTGGACCATTTGCAGAGACACTGGTTCTGTACTGACCTCATTAAAAAAATAATAAAAAAAAATGGGTAAGAATTTAGAATACAGAGGCAGATGCGGTCACAGAGTTTCTTTTGTTTTTATCAGTTTCTGCAAATGACTTTTTAAAAAAGCATATTTTCCCAATTGCATTCTTTGTTTTTACACTTTGTAGAAGAGAAGGAGACAGAATTCTCTGTAGTAGGGGCATCTTTTAATGAAGCTCAGAATAGCCCTCCAGAGCTATTATCCAGACCTTTGCAATGTGCAAATCTGAGCCTAAGAGGTTTCYAATTCTCCCTCTCTCAATTAAGCCATAATTAGTAGAATAGTTTTTCTTTGGTGACCTTGGAAATGCAAGATATTACAGAAATAAATGCATTCATGATTCTCTCTTATTGCTTATGGTAATGAAGGTAGTTTGTCTTAATCAGTTCTTAGCACTGGGCCTGGGACAGTCAATGTTTGT